GAAGGGGGTTATCATCGAGTTCTAACTTGAGGGATTTTTGTCAAGAATTGAATTTATTAGCAAATGCTCTTGCTTGTTCTGGACAGCTTGTGAGAAAACAGTGATTGTGGTTAATTTTTAGTGAGTGTTACATAGTTGATAATTGCTCTGATTCATGATATTATTATATTCTTTCCTTCACCCACAGCAAAACAAGCTTAATTTGATTTATATCCTAAGGAAGAAGAAAAAAAAGCCCTAAGATTACTCACATGGCTGTGATTCAGCTTTTGGCTCCTTCCTCTTTCCCTCCTCGTCCTCTTTCCCCCCTCCTCCTCTTCTCCTACCCTTCCCACTCCTGTATTCACTCCCACCCACGATGTTGTCATCAAAGAACTGAGTCAGTTCCTTCTTAAAAATGGGTGGGGCAGGAGACAAGTAATAAAAAATTTTCTGAGTGAAGTATGCGGCTTCTGTGTGAAATCATTTCAAGAAGACAGTCAGCTCCTTATATGACATGAAAAGCTTGGAACAGAGTCTAGCCCTCATAATGACATGCTCCCAGTGTCTTACATAAATGTGCATGTAGTTTGTGTGCATGTTTGTGGAGGCATTTACATAGCATAGCCATGGAGGCAAGTTCCTATGAGATAATCGTGGTACTGGAATTTTTTAAATATAAACTGTATACAAAGCTAAAGTGCTTTCAAAGCAGAGTACTTTCGTAAACAATGATTTTTATTTGGTCTTGTTTTGAAGCCAAGATATCACTCTTTAGCTCAGGGTGGTATTGAATTTGTGATCCTCTCACTTTTGCTTCCCAAGGCAGGGAGTTATAGTCATGCGTCATCATAGCTCACATTATTTGCCTTCAAATGAAGAGTGTGACTTGGAAGCTTGAAGCTGTTCTTCCCACCCTTTGAGTGGAATATAACTCCTGGAGGTGGCTGCTCACCTTGGAAACAGATTTCTCTTTCTTCCTTGTATTTTGTTCTTTATGCCCACTCTCCAGGTGATGAAAAACAGAAAGGGGTCCTTCAGGCAATACTATACCAGGGCCAGTATTGCATCTCTGGTTGGCTGTGTTCATCCTGTCCTATAGTTGAGGTTTCTGGAACTGACAAAGTCAGATTATTTGGGATTTTGGGTTGCTGACAGAAGGAACTCCATTCTTTTTATACAAAGCAAAGTTGAACCAGATCTTTGCCTCTGACCCATACACCCAAGCAAAGGGGTGAGCCTGAGCGCCCCCCCCATTTGCAATCCCAACCACCCTTTCTCCATTAGGCTGCCCCCTTAGCTGTCATGCTAAAGACAAATTGGAGCAGTTGCCTGTCCTTCCTCCAAACAGGGTATTTGAGGGTCTGCATATTTCTAAAGTGTGCTTGTACCCCCAGAGATGTCTGCTTGCTGTCCTTCTTGTGTACTTCAACTATGTCACTTGCTGACTTGAAACTATTAGCTTTTGTTACCCGAGAGCTTTATGGAATGGTTAAACTGCTTCATATACTTTTCAGATGGAATCAGAGCTTCTTGTACTTGGATAAAGGAAATAAAATTTTTGAAAGACAAACTAACAGAGAATATATACTGAGGTTATCCACCCAACTGCCTGAGTTTCACTTAGGGTAAATGTAGTGGGGTTTTATGGTGGCCTTATGAACTAAAAAAAAAAAAAACCGCAAAGGAGTAAACAAATACTTTTGTCGGGGTCTATACTCTTCTTCGTCCTTCTTGTTAGGGGCTGTTTGGTGATAACAGACAGTGTTCTGCCCTGAACAAGGCTATAATATTCTTCTAATTCTTTTTCCTGGCTGGTGACATTCTTAATATTTTGACCTATCTGGGACAACTGGAATGAGAGTTCTGGGTTTGGTTTTTTTGAGGGGCAGGGTTTCACCTAGGCTGGCTTTAAACTAACTCCTTATCCTCCCGCCATAGCCCTATAACCTGGCAGCCTCCTGCTTGTGCTGGGATGCCAGGCTTTTTGTCACCATTCTTGGCTGTGATGGGAGTTTCTGAATACCCTTTCTTTGACTGGTTCCATTTGGTCATAGCTCCCTTATTGGGAAAAGCCCGAACATATACTGAAACTCCCTGTAGAATATGATGGCTTGCTCAGGTGTTTGTCATCAACACTAAAGTCATTTTAAAGGTTGTTTTAAATGATAGAACACCTATCATTTAAAATGGAGGCAGTGTGTGTGACTGCCTCCATCCTTTTTCAGTTCACATGCACAGCTAGGAATGGGGAAACCAGGACTGAAACATAGCCATCCTCCTTTTAAAAATGCTAAAGGTCTCTTCAGATGCCATTTTTGGTGTTTGATTCTGTTAAAGTTCTGTTTATTTCCATTGAAAGCTATGTAATTATGTAGATTTGATGTTGTCTGTGGACCATAGGCTGGTAACTGTCTTTAAGCCAATAAAGCTTTACTATGAAAATGTCAGTGACTAGATTAATATGTCCATGTTGAAATATGAACAGATTTTAATAACTAGTTGAGAAATATGTGATTGTAGTTAAAATAGTCTTGAACAGTATAATTTGGAAATGTGCTTCCAAGTAGATTATATAAATTTAATTTCTAAAACCTGACTCTATATGAAAATTTAGAGTGGTGTTTATTCCAGTAACATCTTACAGGGGAATTTTTAACAAAGTAAATGGTCAACTCCTGAAATAGCTTTAATTATTATTTAAAATTAAAAAATATTATTTAAGTGAGTATCTTTTCTGTGTTCATATGTGTTGGGGAATTGATATTTGAATATTGCCTTTTGTTGTAAAAATAGAAGGTAAAACATAACTCATTATCCATCAATTTAATCAACAGTAAATGCTAAGCCTCGGTCAAAGCAGTTGCTGACTTTGCTCAAGGTTAAAGGAAGTATGCTGAAAAGAGATAACTACAGCTGAAGTGTTTGCCTGAGCCTCTCAGATTTTTTGTGTGGGGGAATTGCACTCATTATTCCATTTCTTCCTGTCTGCGTAATACCTGGGAACAATTGACTCCATGTAATGCCACTCCCATCATACTGGTTACTGAACCTTTCACTGCAAAGGAGACTTTTAAGCAGTTATTTTGGATTTTTCCTACAGACCATTTGGTGACTTTTAAAATTCTGTCCTAGGCTTTTAAACAAGTTGATATTAAAAGACTATTCAGATGTTGGGGTGGGGCAGGGTCATTGACACATTTGTGTTTCTATGTGAGTCACTCAAGTTAGAGTGTAAATTGCAGTGCATGCAAAAGTGAAAGCCTCTTACATGTCTCTCATGTCCCTGACCACTTCCTGAAGAACCTGACACATGGGCCCCAACATGAGATTTAAACTGAGTTCCTCTGCTGCTGAAGATGTGAGGCAGACTGCACATTTATTCCCAAGTGTTGTGTGAACTTGATTGTTCAGTGGCCTTAGTTGTTAAATTTCCAGAACATGCTTCTGAAATATTACATATTAGGAAGTGGGGCTAGAGCTTAGCTGAGGCTTCAAAAATAATCTTGGACCTTTCTTTACATGATTGAATGCTTTGAAACCGATTAGAACATGCATTGTGATTCTTAAATGCACAGATTACAAAAGAAAAAACTTGAGCTTGTCAGATCAGCCACAACCACAAGTCTAATAAAAACTGACTCATATCCAAATGGCTGCGCTTACACTACCCTCCCATTCTAGGGAAAATGTGGCCGGGGGAGGCAGTGTGAGTCATCACCTGGTTTGTTTGACATATGCTTCCTTCCATAAATTGGGAATGGCAAGCAGCACAGTGCTCTGGGCTTGCCTCAGAGAAATAGCTATTGCAGCTTTGCTCAAGCAAAATAGGGCGTCTGGTTTGGAAAGGTGAAGCTGAGCCTATGTTTTGACTTCAGATGTCAGGAGAGGGGGAGAAGAAATGGACAGATATAAACAAGAAACACTTGTAAGTACCATTTTTCAGAAAATGAAGAAATGGGAGGGGTATTCATGGTTGAATTTCTTCCGGAGGCATATGTGGTATTTAAGAGAAATTGGGGGTGTTAAAAATGAATTTGCAGCTACTTCATGAAGTGGGCTTGTTTACTTAACAAGAGTGAGCTTGATACGGACAGTACAAAATGAACACGAAAGGGGGCTATTTGTAGTTAGCATGAAGATTTGTCCTGATGATGCTTAAATTGCTTAAGTCTTACAAGTGTTTTAAGAGAAACGTGTTTGACTCAGGAATCTTCTCTAGGGCCCATTGAGGGAGGGAAAAGAGGGGTATGCACCTCTCCCATTTCCCTACAGTAGCTCTACAAGTCTCCATGGAGCTGTGCAGAAGGAAGTTTTGAATGTAAAATTGTCAGGGAGATGGGCAGAAGCGGCCTGAGCAGTATATTTATAGCTGAAGCGAGTTTTTAAACTCAGCTCTGCTTTGGGATTATTTTTAGGTAAATGCCAGACATTCTTCTGATTTCCATCCTGGCTAGGTCTCGGCTTCTTCTCTGTCTGTGTGAGGTGAAGGTATTACTTGTTTTAAAGTTTGAGTTGTTGCTGCCAGGGCGCTTTCTGTTGCGGCTTATGTCCCCCCCCCCTTCCTGAATGAGTGTCCTTTGTATAACCCCAGTAATTCAGAAATCCTACAGTCACAGGGACTGCCCTGTCATGTGACTTAGGTACGAGGTGTTAGTTTCGATTGGTCAGCAGCTAATTGCCGGATCCCTATAAGAAGTCCCGGGTCAGGCGACTGTCCACTCTATTCTGCTGCTGGCTGCCGCTCAACAGGGGCAGGGTGGGGGTGGGGTCTAGTCAGTGAGTTCTCTCGTGATAGATGACCAAGTAATTGCTGCCCTGGGGTCTGCACAACAGTGGAAGACATTCAGATTACGTGTGGCTGATTTGATCAAACTCTGCCTTCCTGAACTGGTAACTGTCACTTTAATGTAGCTTACTGATTAAACTGAGAAAAATGTAGCTGAAAATGTGTGCCAAGAACTTGTGTGGACTTATTCCCTGTCCCCTGTTTCCCCTTTGTCTGATTCATTTTGTCACAGGACTGAAATGCAGATAAGTCGTTAGAAAACTTTTGTAGGAAAAGTGCCTCGTGTGATCAGAACAAAGCTGTTTTATAATCAGATTTACCAAGCGAAGAAGGAGTATCGGCGAACGGAAGCTGCAGTGTTCTGTCACCAGGAAACACTGCATTTTACAGAGTCGGTAAGTGAAAAGTGGCATTGTCCCTAATAGCTATCATATGGTGTGTGGGAGAATTGCAAAATTGTTCACAGACCCCTAACAAGTGTGTAGAATAGAAAATATAATAGCAAAGGTAGGGATTTTAAAAGCACGAAGCCCCTCAGTATAGCACAAAGGCCAATAAGAAACCAGGTAATTAATAAAATGAGCCGAATGTTACTAGTTCAACCAAACATATGTAATATAACTAGGTCTTAATTTTTGGACATGGTTTCCTTTTCAGTTGGGGAAAGCACAAAATGAAAATGGGCTGTTTGACTGAGTTGCTACATTATCTTTCCCGTGGATATAGATTTGCATTTCAGTATGACTAGCAAGTTGAAATTTGCCTTTCAGAATTAGTCGGCTCCTTTGCTTCCCCATTGTGTCCTTCATCTAGATCTTCACAAAATGAAAGTTGAAGCAGTGCACCCAAAACATCGGATTATGATGGTCATAGATTTTGTTTTGCATTCATGTCATGATTTTGAGATTGTTCTGTTTGATTACATTAATAAAGCAAAGGGTGCCTATTTCCATATAGCCCATGGCATTTTCAAGATGGTCATGAGCCACTCTTAGTGGTGGAGTGCCTTTGTTTGTGTCTGGCTTTCTTTCTCTGAAACCTGAAATTCAGTGTTCTGCTATTGAACCTGAGCTGCTGCTCTTCTTAAGGATTCCAGAAAAAGACAATAAAGCTTTGAATGTCTGTATTCCTAAGGACAGTGAGATAGCACAGTTTTATAACAATCATGAATGTTTGATTACTTGACTTTGCTGAATAAAGATTGTGTGGAGAAAAAAATGAGCACAATAGGCAAAGACTAGATAGTGTGTGGCTGCTTGATTTTTGCAAGTTCCTTATTGGTCAGTTGAAGTACTCATGTGATATATACATACATAGAATTAGAGGGGAATGTTTGAAGTATTAGTAATTATGTAGGTATTTTGGGCAATCTTCATTTATGAATATAAACATGAAACTGGCCAGTGAATGGAACTGTGCTTTGAATTATTAATGGTGTTTATTTTGCTTTAAGTATCTGAGTAAATTGAAAGTTGGATGAACATTCCTGACATGTGGCCCCTAGTCTGCTTTTGAAATCATAAAATCCTCAGCTTAAGAAAAGAAAGCTGTAACTGGATAGCAAAGCTACGATTCTCTGTTCGGAGAGTGAGGTGCCAACACAGAAGAGGAAAGCGAGTAGTAATGAGTGTACATACTTTGAAGGTTTGAAGACCATTTTTCTTAGGCTAATAAATAACTCCCCAAAGACTTCCGTTTAAATTAAAGACAAGCATGGATGTGAAGTACAGATCCAGCCGTAAATCAGTACATTGGCATTGCAAATTTGTGTGACTGCCACAAGTCATTTGACTTAATTAAGGTATGCCCTCTTGACACACAGGAATTTATAGGTTTGAGAGAAAGACTGAAAAATGGTGGCAAAGCATGTAAGTATTTCTAGAGAATTTATATCCTATTGCTATTGCATATTTAGTAATACTTATTTTCACCTATAATTCATGTAAATACTTGGATAAAACATGGTGATTTAATAAATGCATGCTACATAGGAAAAAGACTATATAAAACCTTTAGATGTTCTTCAGGCACTTAGCCATTGTCTTGAGTGATAAAAATGGAATATAATGTAAATTTCAATGTATTAGTTTAAATATACATCTAAAAGCATCACTCTTAATTCTCTCCTGGAGTCACTGAAAGTATTGGTATTTTGTCACATTTAGTAAAATATATTAGTGACGCCTCAATCATTTCTCCCCAGTAGTATTCAGGAAGTATACTATACACCTTTGTCTGATTACATTTTATTGAACTAATAACACCTCTCTCTCTCTCTCTCTCTCTCTCTCTCTCTCTCTCTCTGTCTGTGTGTGTGTGTGTGTGTGTGTGTGTGTGTGTGTGTGTGTGTGTGTGTAAGCTAAATTTGAAGGGGGCTTTAATCACCAATGAAGTGACTGTCTGTTGTTAGAACTCAGATAAGCCTTGCAATGTTGTTCCTATGACAACTGAGTAGTTGGATGTTGACATGTACCTTTAAGATCCCAGTTCATAAATGCCATTCAAACCTTCTGCTACAGTCTTACTGAGTAGGAGGATAACAAGAAGGGAGAAACACGAAGCCTCATGTGTAGGAAACACTGTATTCCTTTTGTGTCTTCTTGCCTTTGTGTATGTGATAAGCATGGAATTGGTGGTAGCATAGATCTTGAAGAAAGCAATACTTTAAGGCAAATTCATGGGGGAGCTAAGTACCAACATATGGAGTGATAAGGAGCCAGTTTCCATGAGATTTGTGGACATCTTTGTCCAGCGCTGACCAGTAGTGAGAACATTTTGAACCAGTTATTGGAGGTTCTACAAGAGCTGCAAATATTTTCTTCAGATGCAATGTGGAGAGAATTCTGTTGGTAGCAGCAGGGTGGCTTACCACTTTGGCATAGCATGTATTCTTCTCCCCAAGGCTGACTGCTGAGGTCTCTGCTGTCTTTAAAAACAGTTTTTGAGTGAATTGGCAGGCTGAGAATCTCGGCAATGCCATATCGGGGCCAGAGACTGTTTAGACTAATATGTACCATAGAATAATTATGCACTTGTGCATTTTCCATGCTTGAAGGCATTTTTTATTCCCATTTTCTGTTCCTCAATGATTTTGGCAAGAATTAATTAGGAAAAGATTTCAATAAGGTTTGTCACTTATTTAATAAACATAAATCTACCATTTCAATCCAAATGTTATAACAAATGGAGAAAAGTTTGTCACGAACTGACAAGTCCTGACGTGAGCTTACAAGAGGACACTTGTAGTCTTTATTTAGCTCACTAAGTCTATATGTTTTATCACAAATATTGTCATACTTGATTCTGGACTATTATACTAGACCTCCTCTGAAGTTACATACATATGTGTGTATGCTAAATAATCACCCTCTTTATAAGATTTATAATAATCTGAGTGTCTCTTACCCGATCAGGCTTTGTGACTCTTGAATCACCATTTATTAGACTCATGCTATGTGTTAGTTACTTTTCTAAATATATCCCTGGCATTTAGAACAGTGCCTACTAGTTCCTGATAGTTACCCAGGAGATATATTTTAGTGTCAAATGTCTTACGTGTAGTAACTGAAAAGCCAGTATACAGAAAAGCCATTTTATACAGAGAAAACTTCACAGAGAGGTGAAGCAAATTGCCCAAAATGACATACAAAACAATGGAGCCTGGTTTTGCAAGCACTGAAACTTGGCTGTGTTGCAGGGGTGTGTCACCTGGTTCCTTCATTCCTGCTTACCCCATACCTAGTGTCATCAGAAGGTGATGATATCACCACTATGGTCATTTACCAGGATCTTGTGTGAAATGTTTGTTAATGGGGCTATGGTTGTGCTGTGGGAGTTCCAGGGGTACAACCTCTCTTAACAGTGAATCAACTTGCCTTTTTTAATTGGGAAAATCTAAGAAAATGAATACATTTTTCTTAATCCCAAGGGAATTTACTTATATAGATGGAAAAAGTCTTTTCATAGCTAATTTTTTCTAACCCAGAGGGGGTCTAGACTATGAAGGGAGAAATGGTCACCTCAGAGGGGGTGACTCTTTGGCATAGGAGTCATGCTTGGCACAATAAATGCCTCCAGGAAATGAGGCAGCCCCTGGAAATTGAACTGCATATCTGAATCCAGAAAAGGATACTTTTAACAGTGCTTCTCAAAAATATGTCTACGATGGTTCTCTTGTCCCTATGCGTTTCTAGTGATCAAGAAAATGCAGCTTTCCCTGTTCGTTTCCATGTCTCTCTGTCCCCACTTTTTCTTTTTAGCACTTACTTCCTTTTGGCATATTGTACATTTTATGTCCCTGCTTGACAGTTTAGTTAACCAATGCTGGTTTGTTAGATTTAAACAGATGTAAAGATTTCTAGATACATATTTTGATCTCTGTCTTCAACTTCCCTTATGTTCATTTTAAATTGCTGTTGATAAGAAATATTTTTCCGACAGTTTTTCTTTTATTTCCATTTTGTATTTTTGAGACAGGGTTTCTATGTATACCATGGCTGTCCTTGACCTTGCTCTGTAGACCAGGCCTAATAGTTCTGAAAATTTATTTCTCTTAAACTTGTTTAGGTTGTATGGTCAAAATTTGGAGAACATGTTTTCATTCAATTTTTTAAATGAAATGACCATTTATTTTCTTTACCAGGAAGAGTAAGAATTAAGGAGAACATGCAAAGTAAAATCATTTTATTGACTTTTAAACATAGAGATGGGTAGGAGAATTAGAACATGTATTTCAGCTAAAATATCTTAATGCCTACTAAATTGAAAAATAGTCAACATAAAACAATTGCTGTATGTATTATATGTTAAAAATGTAATAATCTTAACTCCATTTCTTAGGATTCCATACTGTAAACTCTCACTACTGTAATTTATATATTCTAAAGTGTTTAAGCTAATCGAAGACATGAGGCATACCACACATGCTATTAGTTGTAAATTATGTGGTTAAATGTAAATACATTATTATAGCTTATTTTTTTATTTTTGTAATTGAACAGATTTGATCCTTACAGAAGTTGGATTTGATGTTTCTATAAGTTAGTATAACAATTGAAACATTTTATTTTCTTAGGTATAGTATGTAGCATCTATTTTGAAATCACCTTAAAACATTAATCTAAATGTTATGATAACTTCATTCATAAATAGAAATATAACCTGGTTTGTGGTGGCACACGTATTTAATTCCAGCACTTGAGGGGGGATAGGCAGGAGGATCTCTGTAAGTTCAAGGGCATCCTATTCTACATAGTGAGTTCCAAGACAGCCAGGACTGTTACACAGAGAAACTCTTTCTCAAAAAAAAAAAAACAAGAAAAAGTAACTGTAAAGAAAAAATATAACCTTTCAGAGACTGGTCAGTGATGCATGGCCTTTAATCCCAGCACAAAGA